ATTTAATTGTCAAAGAACATGGAATACTTGAAAATTGAAATTTTGTAAATCTGTCCATCCAAAAGATGATCGATAGATATCCTGAAGTTTATAGTATAAATCTTTTTAAATTAATGAAAAAAATATCATTTTCAACTCAATTTTTACAAAATTTTTAATCTCGTGTTTCAGAATATTTTTTTTTTATCATTTTTCAAAATAGCATGTAAACAATATTCTAAAAACAATAAGCACTGCCGTCATATTTCTTTTATTAAAAACTGTCATTTTTGTTTCAAGTTGACAGCTTGACCTTCCTCTACCCTCTTACATTGATTCCTTTCACAAAAACAATATTCTAGACGATTTAATTGTGAAAATTTTAAGAAATGTTAGATCAAATTAACTGTTTAGATAAGAATGTTTGACCGAGGTTATGGCCGACAACACGTGGTGCTATCAAATGTTTACACATGTGGTAAATTTACCACACGTGATTGGTCAATTTGCTGATGATTGACAGGAGAGTGGAAAGGTGTATTCATTGAAGAGGGCCTATATATATATAAATGAGGACTTTTTATACCCCTGCTTTGAAAAAGTGGGGGTATACTGTTTTACCTCTGTCTGTCCGTCCGTCCATCCATCTGTTAGTCCCTCAGACCGCCAGCTGTCCATCCCATGAATATTTTTCATCGAATTTTCCTCAAGAACTACATTACAAGGATTTCTGAAATTTGGTTTCAGGGTTTATATGAGTTAGCTATACCGTGTGATGCGTTTTCAGATTCATCACTCAACAACTTCCTGTTTACCAATCACTTGTATCATTTTACACACGATAGCCAAGTTGAAAATTTTCATCACATTTTTTCAGGAACTTCAATACAAGGATTTCTGAAATTTGCTTACAGGGTTTATTTAAGTCAGCTATACAGCATGTACAGTGTGATGCGTTTTCAGATTCATCACTCAACAACTTCCTGTTTACCGAACACTTGTATCATTTTACACATGATAGACAAGTTGAAAATTTTCATCACATTTTTCTCAGGAACTACAATACAAGGATTTCTGAAATTTGGTTTCAGGGTTAATATAACTCAGTTATACCGTGTGATGGGTTTTCAGATTCATTACTCAACAACTTCCTGTTTACTGAACACTTACATATTCTTCCACTATTAAAATTATCTACTTGCGGTGGGGGTATCATCTGAGCAGTAGCTTGCAGTTTCACTTGTTTACCCTCTTTTGTGTTTTGAGCAAAAAATAAAGAAGATAGAGAGAAATTAAACAGATTAAATGATCAGCAATACAAGATCAACAAAACAGAGATTTTTGTCATGAATTCTATTTTTGTCTACAATTTTTTGAATATGCACATAGACCAAGATGAGCAACACTGGCTCTTTAGAGCCTCTAGTTTATTTAATATTGTACAGGCATACATCTAAAATGCCACCTCAATGTCCGAGGCTTTGTCTTATTTTTAAAGAAATGCTGACTCAGAAATGCTGAAATGCATATTAACCAAAAACTCTAGACTCGTTCAAGTGACTACTACATACTCATTAAATTATAAGTCTGTTGTTTTTATTTGCACTATGTATAAATTATTTTGAACTTGTTAAGTATTCAAGCGCAAACCAAACAGTGACATATTAGTCAACCTAATGACAGTGGTCACTTAGTGGTAGAAGAAGTAGAAGTAGAATATAAATGGGACTAATGCATAGTGGGTTGCTTAATTATCTCAAATTGATACACTCCGCATTATCTTCTGAGACATCATAGAAAATGCAACATTCAGCAGATTCAGAGATTGTCAGTTCGACGAGATCAAGAAGATTTTCACTTTATCATTATGAAGTTATTGCAAACGTCATAGTAGATACCTCAGTATTCGATTATTTAAAGTAAAAAATTAAAAAACTTCACCAGGAACACTCAAAGCGAAGCCTTATAATGCCCAAGGATAAACTCTAAGTTATCATATCACAAAAATGTACAATTGTACGGTACTATAGATACCAGTTAACAGGTAAATCTGTCAAAAGATTATCCAACTGTTCAGGCAAAACTGTTTGATTTGACATCATTACCAATAGTGTATACACTAATAGCTTACAGCCAGAACAACAAATCATAGTATTGACTTTAAATTTGGTTCAGTTGAAGATATCATATGACAATATGTCAATCATCTTGCATGCTTTCTATGTTTTTTTGTTTTGGGCAAATGTTTGATTTTATTAAACCAAACTTCATTGTTTGACAATCACTTTTATTGTATAATACTGTAGATTCATTTATTTTTGTGGAAAAATGGTATTTTCATGTATAATTAATTTTGTTAAAAGTTTGTATACAAGCCGTAAGTCAATTTATACCCCATTTAATTAAAATTCCTGAGTTCCCTATACAAAAGTAATCAACTAAAATTGGTACCACGCAAAATGTTATCAATCCACTGTATAGTTATTCAAGTGGCATTCATTTGAAAAATTGATGATCAATTTTAATTTTTATAGGTAATGCAGCAGGTCTTTATTACATCACTGGTGCTCAACATGATGCAGTTTATGGTAAGCTTATAAACTATTTGTTTACTACTTAAATTAACATGCTGACGGACTGTTCCTCTCCCAGAGTACAGAAATATTGTATACTACAAGACTGTTTCCATGCCTGATACAGATATATTGTATACTACAAGATACAGAGATATTGTATACTACAAGATACAGAGATATTGTATACTACAAGACTGTTTCCACGCCTGATACAGAGATATTGTATACTACAAGACTGTTTCCACGCCTGATACAGAGATATTGTATACTACAAGACTGTTTCCACGCCTGATACAGAGATATTGTATACTACAAGACTGTTTCCACGCCTGATACAGAGATGTTGTATACTGCCACCTGTAACATCATTTGTCAACTATACCATCTACTGCCACCTGTAACATCATTTATCAACTGTACCATCTACTGCCACCTGTAACATCATTTATCAACTGTACCATCTACTGCCACCTGTAACATCATTTGTCAACTGTACCATCTGTAACATCATTTGTCAACTGTACCATCTACTGCCATCTGTAAGATCATTTGTCAACTGTACCATCTACTGCCATCTGTAAGATCATTTGTCAACTGTACCATCTACTGCCACCTGTAACATCATTTGTCAACTGAACCATCTACTGCCACCTGTAACGTCATTTGTAAACTGTACCATCTACTGCGATCTGTTACCATCATTTGTCAGCTGTACCATCTACTGCCATCTGTAACATCATTTGTCAACTGTCATCTACTGCCATCTGTAGCATCATTTGTCAACTGTACCATCTACTACCACCTTAACATCATTTGTCAACTGTACCATCTACTGCCATCTGTAACATCATTTGTCAACTGTACCATCTACTGCCACCTGTAACATCATTTATCAACTGTACCATCTACTGCCACCTGTAACATCATTTGTAAACTGCACCATCTACTGCCACCTGTAACATCATTTGTCAACTGTACCATCTACTGCCACCTGTAACATCATTTGTCAACTGTACCATCTACTGCCACCTGTAACATCATTTATCAACTGTACAATCTACTGCCAACTGTATCCATCATATGTCAACTGTACCACCTAATGCCATCTGTAACATCATTTGTCAACTGTACCATCTAGTGCCATCTGTATCCATGATTTGTCAACTTCACCATCTATTGCCATCTGTAACATCATTTGTAAACTGTACCATTTACTGCCATCTGTATCCATCATTTGTCAACTGTACCACCTGCTGCCATCTGTAACATCATTTGTCAACTGTTCCACCTGCTGCCATCTGTGACATCATTTGTCAACTGTACCATCCACTGCCATCTGTATCCATCATTTGTAAACTGTACCACCTGCTGCCATCTGTAACATCATTTGTCAACTGTACCACCTGCTGCCATCTGTAACATCATTTGTCAACTGTACCATCTACTGCCATCTGTATCCATCATTTGTCAACTGCACCATCTATTGCAATTTGTAACATCATTTGTAAACTGTACCATCTACTGCCACCTGTGACATCATTTGTCAACTGCACCACCTTCTGCCATCTGTAACATTATTTGTCAACTGTACCATCAACTGCCATCTGTATCATCATATGTCAACTGTACCATCTACTGCCACCTGTACCATCATTTGTCAACTGTACCATCTACTGCCATCTGTAACGTCATTTGTTAACTTTACCATCTACTGCCATCTGTAACATCATTTGTCAACTGTACCATCTACTGCCACCTGTAACATCGTTTGTCAACTGTACCATCTGTAACATCATTTGTCAACTGTACCATCTGTAACATCATTTTTTCAGCTGTACCATCTACTGCCATCTGTATCCATCATTTGTCAACTGCACCATCTACTGCCACCTGTAACATCATTTGTCAACTGCACCATATACTGTGATATGTTACCATCATTTGTAAACTGTACTATCTACTGCCATCTGTAACACTTTTTGTCAACTGTACCATCTACTGCCAACTGTAACATCATTTGCCAACTGTATCATCTGCTGTCATCTGTTACATCATTTGTCAACTGTACTGCCTACTGCCATCTGTAACATCATTTGTCAGCTGTACCTTTTACTGCCACCTGTAACATCATTGTCAACTGTACAATCTACTGCCATCTGTAACATCATTTGTCAACTGTACCATCTACTGCCATCTGTAACATCATTTATCACTTGCACCATCTACTGCCATCTGTAACATCATTTTTCAACTGTACCTCCTGCTGCCATCTGTAACATCATTGTCAACTGCACCATCTACTGTCATCTGTAACATCATTTGTCAACTGTAGCATCTTCATCCATCTGTAACATCATTGTCAACTGCACCATCTACTGCCATCTGTAAGATCATTTGTCAACTGCACCACCTTCTGCCAACTGTAACATTATTTGTCAACTGTACCATCAACTGCCATCTGTATCATCATATGTCAACTGTACCATCTACTGCCACCTGTAACATCATTTGTCAACTGTACCATCTACTGCCACCTGTAACATCATTTATCAACTGTACCATCTACTGCCATCTGTAACATCATTTGTCAACTATACCATCTGTAACATCATTTGTCAACTGTACCATATACTGCCAACTGTAACATCATTTATCAACTGTACCATCTACTGCCACCTGTAACATAATTGGTCAACTGTACCATCTGTAACATCATTTGTTAACTGTACCATCTACTGCCATCTGTAACATCATTTGTCAACTGTACCATCTACTGCCACCTGTAATATCATTTGTAAACTGTACCATCAGCTGCCATCTGTTTCATCATTTGTCAACTGTACCACCTGCTGCCATCTGTAACATCATTTGTCAACTGTACCATCTACTGCCACCTGTAAGATTATTTGTCAACTGTACCATCTACTGCCATCTGTAATATCATTTTTCAACTGTACCTCCTGCTGCCATCTGTAACATCATTTTCAACTGCACCATCTACTGCCATCTGTAACATCATTTGTCAACTGTATCATCTACTGCCACCTGTAATATCATTTGTAAACTGTACCATCAGCTGCCATCTGTTTCATCATTTGTCAACTGTACCACCTGCTGCCATCTGTATTCATCATTTGTCAACTGTACCATCTACTGCCATCTGTATCCATCATTTATCAACTTCACCATCTATTGCCATCTGTAACGTCATTTGTAAACTGTACCATCTACTGCAACCTGTGACATCATTTGTCAACTGTACCATCCACTGCCATCTGTATCCATCATTTGTCAACTGTACCACCTGTTACATCATTTGTCAACTATACCACCTGCTGCCATCAATTGTCAACTGTACCACCTGCTGCCATCTGTAACATTATTTGTCAACTGTACCATCTACTGCCACCTGTAACATCATTTGTATACTGTACCTTCTGTAACATCATTTGTCAATTGTACCGTTTACTGCCACCTGTAACATCATTTGTCAATTGTACCATCTACTGCCATTTGTAACATCATTTGTCAATTGTACCATCTACTGCCACCTGTAACATCATTTGTCAATTGTATCATCTACTGCCATTTGCAACATCATTTGTCAACTGTACCATCTTCTGCTACCTGTAACATCATTTGTAAACTGTACCATCTACTGCCATCTGTTTCCATCATTTGTCAATTGCACCATCTACTGCCACCTGTAACATCATTTGTCAATTGCACCATCTACTGTGATCTGTTACCATCATTTGTCAACTGCACCATCTACTGTCATCTGTAACATCATTTGTCAACTGTAGCATCTACAGCCATCTGTAACATCATTGTCAACTGCACCATCTACTGCCATCTGTAAGATCATTTGTCAACTGCACCACCTTCTGCCAACTGTAACATTATTTGTCAACTGTACCATCAACTGCCATTTGTATCATCATATGTCAACTGTACCATCTACTGCCACCTGTAACATCATTTGTCAACTGTGCCATCTACTGCCACCTGTAACATCATTTATCAACTGTACCATCTACTGCCATCTGTAACATCATTTGTCACCTGTATCATCTACTGCCACCTGTAACATCATTTGTCAACTGTACCATCTACTGCCACCTGTAACATCATTTGTCAACTATACCATCTGTAACATCATTTGTCAACTGTACCATATACTGCCACCTGTAACATCATTTATCAACTGTACCATCTACTGCTACCTGTAACATCATTTGTCAACTGTACCATCTGTAACATCATTTGTTAACTGTACCATCTGCTGCCATCTGTAACATCATTTGTCAACTGTACCATCTACTGCCACCTGTAACATCATTTGTCAACTGTACCATTTACTGCCATCAGTAATATCATTTTTCAATTGTACCTACTGCTGCCATCTGTAACATCATTGTCAACTGCACCATCTACTGCCACCTGTAACATCATTTGTCAACTGTACCATCTGCTGCCACCTGTAATATCATTTTTAAACTGTACCATCAACTGCCATCTGTTTCATCATTTGTCAACTGTACCACCTGCTGCCATCTGTATCATCATTTGTCAACTGTACCATCAACTACCATCTGTATCCATCATTTATCAACTTCACCATCTTTTGCAATCTGTAACGTCATTTGTAAACTGTACCATCTACTGCCACCTGCGACATCATTTGTCAACTGTACCATCCACTGCCATCTGTATCCATCATTTGTCAACTGTACCACCTGTAACATCATTTGTCAACTGTACCACCTGCTGCCATCTGTAACATCATTTGTCAACTGTACCATCTACTGCCATCTGTATCCATCATTTGTCAACTGCACCATATATTGCCATTTGTAACATCATTTGTAAACTGAACCATCTACTGCCACCTGTAACATCATTTGTCAACTGTGCCACCTGCTGCCATCTGTAACATTATTTGTCAACTGTACCATCTACTGCCACCTGTAACATCATTTGCATACTGTACTTTCTGTAACATTATTTGTCAATTGTACCATCTACTGCCACCTGTAACATCATTTGTCAATTGTACCATCTACTGCCATTTGTAACATCATGTGTCAGCTGTACCATCTACTGCCATCTGTAACACCATTTGTCAACTGTTCCATCTACTGTGATCTGTTACCATCATTTGTCAACTGCACTATCTACTGCTATCTGTAACATTATTTGTCAATTGTACCAACTTCTGTGATCTGTTACCATTTTTTATCAACTGCACCATCTACTGCCATCTGTTACATCATTTGTCAACTGCACCATCTACTACCATCTGTTACATCATTTATCAACTGTACAATCTACTGCCATCTGTAACATCATTGTCTACTGTACCATCTACTGCCATCTGTAACATCATTTGTCAACTGTAGCATCTACTGCCATCTTTAACATCATTTGTCAACTGTACCATCTACTGCCATCTGTAACATCATTTGTCAGCTGTACCATCTACTGCCATCTGTATCCATCATTTGTCAACTGCACCATCTACTGCCATCTGTTACATCATTTGAAAACTGTACCATCTGCTGCAATCTGTAACATCATTTGTCAACTGTACCATCTTCTGCCTTCTGTAACATCATTTGTCAACTTTACTATCCACTGCCATATGTTACATCATTTATCACCTGCACCATCTACTGCCATCTGTAATACCTTTAGTAAATTGTACCATCTATTGTCATCTGTAATTATTATTTGTCAGCTATACCATATACTGTCATTTGTGACTTTCTTCTATCACATGTACCATCTACTGTCATCCTGTAACCATTGTTTGTTACCTATACCATATACTGTCATCTGTGACTTTTTTCTATCACATATACCATATACTGCTATCTGTAACCATCATAAGTCATATAACAAACTACTTTCATCGGTTACCGTCACTTATACCAAAAACCATCTACTGCCACCTGTAACATCATTTCTCAATTGTACCATCTACTGCTATCTGTAACATCATTTGTAAACTACCATCAACTGCCATCTGTAACATCATTTGTCAACTGTACCACCTGCTGCCATCTGTAACATCATTTGTCAACTACCATCTACTGCCATCTGTAATATCATTTGTAAACTGTACCATCAACTGCCATCTGTTTCATCATTTGTCAACTGTACCACCTGCTGCCATCTGTATCATCATTTGTCAACTGTACCATCTACTGCCATCTGTATCCATCATTTCTCAACTTCACCATCAATTGCCATCTGTAACGTCATTTGTAAACTGTACCATCTACTGCCACCTGTGACAAATGCCATCTGTTTCATCATTTGTCAACTGTACCACCTGCTGCCATCTGTATCCATCATTTGTCAACTGTACCATCTACTGCCACCTGTAATATCATTTGTCAACTGTACCATCTACTGCCATCTGTAATATCATTTTTCAACTGTACCTCCTGCTGCCATCTGCAACATCATTGTCAACTGCACCATCTACTGCCACCTGTAACATCATTTGTCAACTGTACCATCTACTGCCACCTGTAATATCATTTGTAAACTGTACCATCAGCTGCCATCTGTTTCATCATTTGTCAACTGTACCACCTGCTGCCATCTGTATCCATCATTTGTCAACTGTACCATCTACTGCCATTTGTATCCATCATTTATCAACTTCACCATCTACTGCCATCTGTAATATCTTTGGTAAACTGTACCATCTGTTGTCATCTGTAATTATTATTTGTCAGCTATACCATATACTGTCATTTGTGACCTTCTTCTAGCACATGTACCATCTACTGTCATCCCGTAACCATTGTTTATTACCTATACAATATACTGTCATCTGTGACTATTTTCTATCACATATACCATATATTGCTATCTGTATCCATCATTAGACATATAACCTACTACTTTCATCGGTTACCGTCGCTTATACCATTTACCATCTACTGCCACCTGTAACATCATTTCTCAACTGTACCATCTACTGCCATCTGTAACATCATTTGTCAACTGTACCACCTGCTTTCATCTGTAACATCATTTGTCAACTACCATCTACTGCCATCTGTATCCATCATTTGTCAACTGCACCATCTATTGCCATCTGTAACATCATTTGTAAACTGTACCATCTACTGCCACCTGTGACATCATTTGTCAACTGTACCATCTATTGCCATCTGTATCCATCATTTGTCAACTGTACCACCTGTTGCCATCTGTAACATCATTTGTCAATTGTACCATCTACTGCCATCTGTATCTATCATATGTCAACTGCACCATCTATAGCCATCTGTAACATCATTTGTAAACTGTACCATCTACTGTCACCTGTAACATCATTTGTCAACTGTACCACCTGCTGCCATGTGTAACATTATTTGTCAACTGTACCATATTCTGCCATCCGTATCATCATATGTCAACTGTACCATCCACTGCCACCTGTGACATCATTTGTCAACTGTACCATCCATTGCCATCTGTATCCATCATTTGTCAACTGTACCACCTGCTGCCATCTGTAACAACATTTGTCAACTGTACCACCTAATGCCATCTGTAACATCATTTGTCAACTGCACCATCTACTGCCATCTGTATCTATCATTTGTCAACTGCACCATCTATTGCCATCTGTAACATCATTTGTAAACTGTACCATCTACTGCCACCTGTAACATCATTTGTCAACTGTACCACCTGCTGCCATCTGTAACATTATTTGTCAACTGTACCATATACTGCCATCCGTATCATCATATGTCAACTGTACCATCTACTGCCACCTGTAACATCATTTGTCAACTGTACCATCTGTGTCTTCATATTTCAACTGCACCATTTACTGCCACCTGTAACATCATTTGTCAACTGTACCATCTTCTGCTACCTGTAACATCATTTATGAACTGTACCATCTACTGCCACCTGTAACATCATGTGTCAGCTGTACCATCTACTGCCATCTGTAACATTACTTCTCAACTGTACCATCTACTGTGATCTGTTACCATCATTTGTCAACTGCACCATCTACTGCCATCTGTTAAATCATTTGTCAACTGCACCATCTACTGCCATCTGTTACATCATTTGTCAACTGTACAATCTATTGCCATCTGTTACATCATTGTCTACTGGCCATGACGTTGTCAGTTTGTTTTCGATCTATGAGTTTGACTGTCCCTCTGGTATCTTTCGTCCCTCTTCTACTATCATCTACTGCTATTGTTAACATCATTTGTCAACTGTACCATCTACTGCCATCTGTAACATCATTTGTCAGCTGTACCACCTACTGCCATCTATATCCATCATTTGTTTAATGTACCATCCACTGCCATCTGTAACATCATTTGTCAACTATACCATCCACTGCCATCTGTAACATCATTTGTCAACTTTACCATCTACTGTCATCCTGTAACCTATATATAGATTCTACCACTGTATCGTGTGTGAAACAAAATTTATCCATTCGAGATCGTTAAATTTTCAAATTTAAAATACGAGACTTGCGGAGTGTTTTGAATATTTAATGTTTAACTGTCATGAGTGGATAAATATAGTATTGCACAAGATTTGGTGGTGGAATCTGTTTCTCTAATGATTTTTAAACAATATGCAGACAAATTCAATCCTTCTTTGAATGATTTGCGAAAAGATGTGTTCTTTGTATGTGACATCATCAGACAAGGTTGCCTTTTTCATGACGTCACAATAGGAAATTCAGAGGTAAGCAAGAAAATTTGTCATCATAATCGAATTTTGACCAATGAAGAACTGAGATCAAACGAACCACACGTTGATTAAATAAAATATTCAACAGGTCTGGAAAAGGATAAATCGTGTAAGAATTAGAGAATCCACCATCTGTGACCATTGTTTTTTTTTATTATACCATTTACTGCAATCTGAATCCATCATTCTTCAGATATACCATGTATACTGCCATGTGTAAACATCACACGATATGTGCCTCAGGTGCAGCAGGACCTGTTTACCCTTTCGGAGCACCTGTTGGGGTTCTTAATTATCAGTCTAAAGTTTTCAATGTTGTGTTTTGTAGACTGCTGCTTGTCATGTTTTTGGTTTTTTTTGCCATTGCTTTGTCACTTCTGGTTGAATTTTCATTTGGTATCTTCTACCTCTCAATTATTTAGATTTGCCTTGATATACGAAAAATCTTGACAACAAATTTTGTATTGCTGCATGATAAAACAAAACTCAGCAAAGATACCATGCTTATGATAGCAATATATTACTAAAAGGCATGCATGACTAATCTTTTCTAGTTCTTAATAATAGTTTTGGAATTTCTTTAGATGAAAATGTTAGTAATTAATATCAATCTACCAGATGCTATGTATGTATATGAAATGCATTAAGGAAACTTAGAATGTTCTTGGCTGATTAAGAATATATATCAAAATGTAGGTACAAAATATTTACAATTTTAAGTTCAATACCATATAAAAATAATATTTGCTCTTTTGGGAGATAGTTGAACTTTGTAATTTTTTGGAGTATTTACTTGCATAAGAGGAGCGTTTCCAGATAACTCATCCTACAGTTTGAATGCTAGGAAGTTTCCACTTTGCTGGCTGTTTGTACATATATTGAAGGTGTGCATGTGGTCAGGGTTTTGATTTTTTTAAATATTTGCTCTTTTGGGAGATAGTTTAACTTTGTCATTTTTGGGGTAAAAGCGGTTAAATGTTATAGTTATTTTAAAATAACACTTTGCATCTGCGGGGGCATCAATGGTGTCTCCCAGACACAATAATATAAGAAAGTCCTACATTGACTTTGTAATTATACAGTTACTTCAGAGTGGAGTGTGGGGGCATCACTTTGTCTAGTTTTTCTTTTGTCTTTTAAGAAACAACACTTTGGCTAAATATTGAACATAGAGGTAAAATGCAATACTTGGCTTAAATTTTAAAACTGAAGCAGTTAAAAATGATCAGCAGATCAAGATCTATCTGCCATGAAATTTTCAGACCATTTGAACAACCCAATTTAGATTTGTTGCTCCTGATATAATAATGTTTACAACATTTCTCTATTTTTGGTTATTATCTTGAAAAGTGTTATAGATAAAGAGAAACTTGCAACTGCAAAAGTTATATTTTCCAGCTTTTATGTCATTAAACATAATTACCATGTCTATAAGCATTCAAAATGCATTGTTGAAACATGTGAAACATATTTTGCAATAGCGTTTTTTTTTGTTTTTTTTTTTTTTTTTGGGGGGGGGGGGGACAAATTAAAACTAGAATTTTCTAATACTTTCCAAAAAGGTTTTTATCGTGCTTTTATATGCCAAATATGATCAAAAGTTCGTGTCACACAGCTATATTTCAAGCTACAGGTTGCTCAAAACTGCCAAATTTTGTATGGATTATACATGAAAAGCACTTTATATAATTGAATTATCTGGATTTATCTCCCATTTTAATTATTGCTGAGTCATATAAATTCAATCAAACAAAACAAATCTTCAGAATTCAGTTTTTACTATTAATAGAAACAGTCATAGACATATGATAAATTAAAGATTATTATTGAATTGCATTCCAGTCTCAAAGCTTGCATAATTATTCAAGTAAAGGTTTAGACAGATTGTGTTCTGCTTTTTTTATCATCAAGAAGGCAAAATATAATGGAGTTTAATAAAACTCATCAAACATATTAGGCTTATAAGTTTGTACGCCAGATGTGTGTGTTGTCTGTACAAGACTCATCAGTAACACTGAAATTTAGGCATTGTTAAAAAATGCTATCATAATAGATTTTATTAGAACTTAAAATCAAAACTTTTTTAAATGTAATTATTGTTTGTTCAACCTAGTTTGGTATTGATTGACTGATTAATCAGTTTGCTTGGTATTTTGCATGGCATGCAACTATAACTATCTGGCAGGTCGAAACTTTCCTGGTTCAGTTCCAAATTACGTTTTGTTAGTGACCCTAATTAAGATAGATAAAAAATGTAGTAATGTTGCTGATAGAATTGAAGTGTTATTTTCAACAATGTAACATCACTCTAAAATTTTGAATATGCTGTATTGATTAATACACAATCTTTGGTTTGTTATATTCTTTTAAAAAAAATATGATCAATTTTTAGAAGTGCTGTATATATTATACATTTACAAGCATATGTTACCAGGAAGGTCTCAGGGAAAAGTCAGATTTCTATTTTATGTTCCCTCAAACTGTAAATTTGATGCATTCCCTGACTGATGAGACCAAATATGCAATCACATTTATGGTTTAATTTAACTGTTACATAACTGCTATGAAAGCATATATCAACTTGCCCTGCTGTTCCATTTATTTTTAAGGAAAACAGAAAATATTCAAATTTTAAAGTAAATTTGGATTTTATTAGATAAATACTTACCATCATAAATTCTGAGTGTAACCCCAATTGCGTCATAGGTCAGATGGAAAATCCCGACTAAAAATAAACGTACTCTCACTGGTCCGGACATATACCCCTGTTTGCCCATATTCTCCCATTCAATTTCCTCAAGACAGAAACGTAGGGAAAGGGGATGAAGGGGAGGTGGGTGGGACCTTTAATTTATGATGGTAAGTATTTATCTAATAAAATCCAAATTTACTTTAAAATTTGAATATTTTATAGCTATAAATACGTTACCATCATGAATTCTGAGTAACAGAATCTAACGTAAAGCTGAATCCCCTGTAACAGAAGAAACAGGAGGAAAGTTCAATCTTTGTGCTGAAACTATAGGTCCAAGAGAGTATAAACTCTCGGCAAAAGTAGCCATAGATTGGAGGTAATGAGATATAAAAGAGTTCTCATTTCTCCAGAAACCTGCAGACAGTACCTCTTCTAAAGATGCACTGTTAAACAGAGCCCAGGATGTAGAGATACCCCTAACATCATGAGCTTTAACATTAAAACTATTTAAAAGTTCTGACTTAGAAGAACCATAAGCTAAAGATATGCATTTGCATATCCAAGTAGAAATAGTTTTAACAGAAAGATCTGAGATTCCTTTTTTAATAGGAATAAAGAGTCTTGAGTTAGAAACAGAACGTAAACTACTCGTTCTATCCAGATAAATAGAAAGGATTCTTACTGGACATAAAAGTACAGAAATAGAATCGCTAGGGAGTGCAGGAATCACGACTGATTCTGCACCCTTATCTGTATCTGATTCTTTGCCAAAAAAGCAGGATCCGTTAAAAGAGTAACAGAAGATTTATCCCTGTTAAATCGAAGGCAAGCATCAGAAATAGAGAAGGCATGGATTTCACTCCTTCTCCGTCCAGAAGCCAAAGCTAAAAGAAAACAGCATTTATAGGAAAGAAACCTTAAATCTATT